TGTATGTATGTATGTATGTATGTATGTTTGTATGTATGTATGTATGTATGTCTGTATGTCTGTATGTCTGTGTGTATGTATGTCTGTATGTATGTATGTATGTATGTATGTATGTATACATATGTATATACATATATACATATATACATATATACATATATACATATATACATATATATATATGTGTGTGTGTGTATAAACATCATATACATATGCATATACATATACATGTACATATGCATATACATATATACATATACATATACATATACATATATGATAACATGGTGTTTGTATGTGTGTATATATATATGTATATATGTATATTCACATGCATATATATATATGTATGCATGTATGGATGTATATGTATGTGTATATATGTTTATTTATTTATTTGTTGATATTGATTGATTGATTGATTGATCGATTGATTGATTGATTGATTGATTGTGTGGAGCCACACGCGTGCCGATGCCAACATCACCCTTCACCCCCGCAAGCGACGAGCGAAGTCTTGCAGCCTGGCCTTGCAGTGGAGCAAGTTGACCGTGGTTTAGGGTTTAGAGCTCAGGGTTTATTTGAGTGTCTGGGTTAGGGTTTAGAGTTTTAGGGTTTGGGGCTTAGGGTTTAGAGTTTTGGGTTTAGGGTTCCTCTAATCGCCACACTCACTCTCCCACGGCTGAAGTGGCCACGAGCTCGCGGTCCTCCGACGTCGCCTCCTAGCCTTACCGAACCCTCATAAACGCCTGATACACCCGCAACAAACCCTTACCATCTGGAGTGGAGCCCTCCCTCTCAGAAGCCCCGAGCCAAAAAACCCTTATCAAACCATCATCCTTCATCCCTAAACCCCTGACTCTGAAACCAAAACCCTAAACCCTGAAGGCCCAAAACCCTAAAGTTTGAAGGCCCTAAACCCTAAACCCTGAAGGCCCTAAACCCTAAACCCTGAAGGCCCAAAACCAGGCCCTAAACCGTAACCCTAAAGGCCCTAAACTGTGATCCTGAAGGCCCTAAACCCTAAAGGCTGAAGGCCCAAAACCGTAAACCCTGGAGGCCCTAAACCCTAAACCTTCTGATTCTGAGACGCTCAAGTTCAGCAGCACCCTGCTTGCCTCGGCATCAAGGGCTTGGGGTGTAGGGATTTAGGGCTTGCCCAGTTTCGGATGTTACATCACCTTAAGACTAGGATGAATTGTATATATGATCATGTGTTTTGAAGTATATTTGTTACTGTTTGGTTGACGGTGATGTGATTTACCCCAACTGGGCGAGCCCTATGCTAACTTTATACGGGTTGGGCTTGTGGCTTGGGGCTTCTGCTCAGTTGTGGAGTGTGAGATTTAAGACAAAAACAGCGTCGGGCCCCGAAGGGAAAACCGTAACTAAAAGAGCTGGCAAGCCCTGTAGCACAAAGCAGAAACCTAAACCTAGACGCTGAAGCACCAACGCCAAAGCAAACCCTGTGTTCCCCATAACCCTTCAAACACCTAAACCAGAAACACTAAACCCTAAACCCCTAAACCCCTAAACCACTAAACCCCTAAACCCCTAACCCTAAACCCCCAAATCCAGAAACCTCCTAACCCTGAACCACACACCCTAAACCTTGAAACCTCCGGGCCTAACTCCGCAACCCGAAACCTCAAAAACCCTCGAAGCCCTCAAACCTAAGCCCTAAACCCTATAAACCCTAAGCCCTATAGCCCTATAGCCGTAAACCTTAAACCCTATAACCGTATACACCTAAACCCTATAAACCCTAAACCCTACAACCCCTAAACCCCATAGCCCCGAAACCCACCCTACAACCCTAAACCCTCAACCCCAAACCCCTAAACCCTATAAACCCCCAAACCCAAACCCTCAACCCTAAACCCTAGACCCCAAACCCTATAAACGCCCAAACCCCCCCCCCCCACGAAAGGCCAGGATTGCCAAGGCTCGTTGCTCCGATCGCCGCTCAGGGCCTGTGGCTTCTCGGCATTTTAAGGGACTGAGGGGTTCAGGGTTTAGGGTTTAGTGTCTGGGTTTAGGGTTTAGGGTTTAGTGTTTAGGGTTTAGGGTTTCGGGTTAAGGGTTTAGAGTTATAGGGTTTAGGGCTTCGGGTTCAGGAGTCAGGGGGCTTGGTAGGGTCTGTAGGGGTTTAGGGTTTTAGGGTTTAGGGCTTTAGGGGTTCAGGGCGTTTGGGCTCAAATTCGGTTCGAGCTCGGGCTCCCGGCTTCGAGATGTTGGCGCTTTCGGATCTGATCTTCAACTCCTTCTCTTGCTGAAGAGGCTCCCCACTTAAAGGCCCAAGGGACACAAGTGAGGCCATAAGTAAGGCTATATTTCTACGACCTACGATAAGCCTACTTAATTAGGGGACTTACAACCCCCGTTACAATCCTACTTACCCAGTCCCCTGTCGTGGTCAGAGTCGCTTTCATCGGCAGGGATCCGTGCACCCCCAAAACCCTAAACCCAACGGTAGCTGCCTAGCGTGAGCAGGAACGTATTCTGAGTATACCTACCTCCTCCCGCGCTGTGAGACTCCCTGCCTTCTCAAGTGAAGGATTATGCTATCTCTCTCTCTCTCTCTCTCTCGCTCTCTATCATCTATCCCTCTATCTCTCTATCTATCTATCTACCTACCTACCTACCTATCTATCTATCTCAATCTCTATCTATCTATCTATCTATCTGTTTATCTGTCTATACATACATACATACATACATACATACATACATAGATACATACATACATACATGCATGCATACATACATACATACATACATACATATATACATACATACATGCATACACACACGTATTAATGTATGCACATACACCGACTATAACTAGATATATACAGATAAATGTATATATATATATTTATATATATGTAAAAAAGATGTATTTACTTATCTATTTATGTACTTATTGTATCCATGTATTTATTTACTTTTATCTATCTATATATATATATATATTTATATGTAGATACAGATATAGATACACCCTCACACACACACACACATTTTCGCTTGCAAGCTGACATTTCGCGGGAACGGAACGTTGCAACACGTGGCATTGCTCTGACCCACTACCAAGCTGCCGGCATAGTTAACACTGAAAATGGACTCTGCAAAAACACTCCGCCTACCTCCCAAATCGAGTCCTTGGGTTCAGGGGGATAGTGCCTGCAATAATCATGGCAGCCGGGCGGCAGGAATGAAGAGGGAAGAGACTCAAAAATTAGTTGTCTCGACCCGCTCACCACCACTCGCAAGGTATCAGAGCTGTGAACTGGTGAAACGCTTGCGAAAACGAGAGAAGACTCTGAGAGGGTGGGACCTTCGGTAGCAGGACAGCTTTGCGGGCACTCTGGCAGCAGGGTTTAGGGTTTTTAGGGTTTAGGGTTTAGAGTTTAAGGTTTAGGGTTTAGGGTTTAGGAGTTTAGGGTTTAGGGTTTAGGGCCTGATGACGGAAGGCCAGGGATCTTCGTTCGTTGTATGGGGATCTCCACCCTCTACCTATAGGAGTCCAAAGAGTTTGAGGTCTGCTCATAAAGTCTCGATAGAAGCGGAGCGCGAGGAAACACTGCTCAGAGATTTTGTCTCCGAAGAGCCGGTTTAGGGCATGCGCTTGTGTGCTGAATTCGGCAGTGAAACACCCTAAACCCTAAACTCTAAAGCCTAAACCCTAAACAAACCTACTGGGGCCTCATAGATGCACCGAACGCAAAAGCCTGGGCCGCGGGTACGGCCACATGGGTTCTCAAATCTCTGTGGGTGCGGACATCTTACATGGGTAGTTGTCTAAAACAGGGTCCCTTTTAGGGTCCTTTACATATTTGTGCCGTTCTATACTGGGGACCTGAAAAGGGAGCCTAATTTAGAGAACTACCCACATGCCACCCTAAACCCTAAACCCTAAACCCTAAACCCTAAACCCTGAACCCGAAGCCCTAAACCCTAAACCCTGAACCCTGAACCCTAAACCCTAAACCCTAACCTTCTTCCGTCGGCTCAGGCCGTGGAGGTCTCGCCCGAAGAACTGGAGTCGAAGATCTCGGAAGCGCTGGTTGTTGCCCGCGAAGCCGTGCCCGGGTCTCGGCCCAGGCATTCCTAGTGCATGTTTGGGATAAGTATATAAAAAAAAAGATCTTAGGTCTATTCTTCAAGAATGATTTTTGATAAAATCCATAAAACTGCAAAATTTGATCATACCCATAAAAAAAATTGCAAAAGGTTACCCAACTATGACAAAGAGTCCTTGACTGTTTCTGAGAACTCTAGGTCGGTGCAGGAGGCTAGGAGCCTCGGCCTGCTCTCACCCACGCCCTCCATGGACGCATCGATCACGTGGAAGGGACGAGGGCAGGCGACGAAGCTTCGCATCAACGAGAGCCATGACCTGGTTCCCTGTTGGGGCCATATTAAAACTACTATTTTTTTAAAGTCCTTTCTAGGGTTTTATTATCACAAAAATGTAAAATTGTATCCAACAAGGACCTGGTGACGGCTGACCAAGAATGACAAGTAGGTGCTTGCAACCACCGTCCTTGGTCTGAAAATCGTCCATGACCCGGAGGAAGTCGGTGTAGGTCTCACAAGTTACTACATGGTTGAAGCCTGCGCGAGTACATTGTAATTCGAAAGCCAGTCGGCTGCAGACTTCTTCCACTGCGATCAAGAAGTGAACGGATTTCTCGAGATGCACCGGTGAAGGAGCGTGACCGTCGCTCTCTGAGCACACTGAGTCCAGAGGTAGCGACATGACTGCTTTCTGTGCATAAGCATCCGCAGATGCCTCACTTTCGGCTTGTCCATGCATCATAAAGCGGATGGCAAACGGAACCGAAACGACTGAAGCCGGTCGACCACGAGTTCGCCGCAGCCAAGCTGAACCAAACTCCTCAACCCTAGCCCGAGAGATATGATCAAGCTGCGATGCGACGTGAATCCGAAGTTCGCAAAATCCAAACAGACCCTAGACCCTAAACCCTAAACCCTAAGCCAGCCTAGCGGCCTCGTGAGCCTACTGCAAATCTGCCCTGAAGGTGAACAAGGTGTCAAGCACTGCGTCGATGCATCCGCATATTAGTCCCGATGAACTATTCCACATAAGCAGAAGATGGCCACGACGATGCGATTCGCTCCTGGTTCTAAACCTGCAAGGGGCAAAATAGAACTGCCGACATTAATTCAGTGGTCCAGTGGTGTTGTTTGTGTATACTCACCCTCACAAATATATTCCAATCCTAAACGCTGAGTACCAAAGCATCGGACTGACACTCACCCTCTATATTAAAGCCTAAGGAAGACGCTGATATCCGTCTAGAACCCTACGACAACTGGTATCAAGGAAGATCTGAAAATTCCAAAACTCCCAAACCCAACCCCTCAGTCGAATTGTGTCCGGGGCTGCGGCCATCCAATGCTGAGCCTGGCTTCTTGGATTCCTAGACCGGTTTTTTGAAGCTTCCTCTACGGTCCCTGAAGGGTCCTGTGAAGTTCCTGTCAGAGGTCCTGATACGGTTGATGATATAATATAAATCCTGCCTTACCCTAAGGACCCTAAACCCTAAACTATGCCTAGACCCTCCATCTACCCTCTGAAGACCCTAAATACCCTAAATTTGGGACCATATACCCCTATTTGAGGGTATTTGGAGGATCCTGGTGGGAACTATGGTATATTCCTTATTATGGGTAATGCAGGATTTATATCATCAACCGTATGTTTCGCAGAATGCGGGCTCCTCTGAGGGTTCACGCACGGGTCTCGTAGAACCGGGGCCTAGGGACGATGGATCTGGGGCTTTGGCCCAAACCCTAAAGTTTAGGGTTTACGGTTTAAGGTTTAGGGTTTAGGGCACCTCAAAGCCCAATGCCGGAACGGGGCCTACCGGTACATCTGCTGTCCGCGCCCTAAACCTTACACCCGAAACCCCCAACCTAACCCTAGCAGAGGCTTGCGGATTCAGCGTTCTCCTTCTCAGGTTGAGGCAGAATAAAAGCTCCTGTAAAGCCTTCTACAAGGTCCACTGTACGGGGTCGATGAGGGTTCTTTTGGGTTTGAGGGTTCTTGTTTAGGGCGGTGCGTGCAGATTTGGTCTGTGTATAGATTCAGATCTACGCATGCAGTCATTCCTGTCTGTGTGCTGATCGCTTGTTGATCTTGCAGCACTGGTTCTGATACTTCCCCCCCCCCGCCCAACCCCCTTCCCCGCCCGCCTGTTCCTTGCCCCACCCGTTCGCTTCGCTTTCCCTCCATTGTTGCTTCCGTTTTTTCCGCCATTCTTGCTTCTTTTTTCTTGCTTGCGCTGGCTGAGAGCGGCAGCCGTTGATGCGCTGCAAGCCTAAGGTCCTCGACACAAAGCACAGGCCCACTTGTTTTCATTTCCTGCCAGCTTTCAAACTCGAGTTTCTGAGCCTGCTTTCCACTTTAATTATTTTTTTGCCTCAAAAAAGCCCTAGAGAATTCCAAACCCCTGAAAAAGATGGCCTGCTGGAGGAGATCCTCCGCCTTCTCGTTTCCATCGCCACCCGCCAGCGCGACACGCGCCTCTGCTGTTCTTCTGGGTTGAGGGTTGAGGGTTATAGGGTTTAGGGTTTAGGGCTTCGGCTTTTAGGGTTGAGGGTTTAGGTCTAGAGTGTAGACTTTAGGGGAGGGTTTGGGGTTTTGGGGTTTAGGGCTTAGTGTTCAGGGCAGACTGTGGGCGTCTTAACAAAGACCCAGCCTCCTATCATAAGGAGCATCACGGGGAGCCTAATGCGAACGGGGAGATGGAGACTACACGTGTGTGTGTGTGTGTCTCTGTGTGTGTGTGTGTCTGTGTGTGTGTGTGTGTCTGTGTGTGTGTGTGTATGTGTGTGTGTGTCTGTGTGTCTGTGTGTCTGTCTGTCTGTCGGTCTGTCTGTCTCTGTCTCTGTCTCTGTCTCTGTCTCTGTCTCTGTCTCTGTCTCGGTCTGGGTCTCGGTCTTGGTCTCGGTCTCTGTCTCTGTCTCTGTCTTTGTCTCTGTCTCTGTCTCTGTCTCTGTCTCTGTCTCTGTCTCTGTCTCTGTCTCTGTCTCTGTCTCTGTCTGTGCGTATGTATGTGTGTGTGTGTGTGTGCGTGTGTGTTTGTTTTTGTGTGTTT